TAAGTATGTATAGGTTGAAGAATTCTAAGTAATTCTAATACTACACACAATACTTGGAAAACTTAAATTTTATTTAAAAAAAACGCAAATATAGGAGCATGTTAGAAACAGTAAATTTTCAAGTTTTTTCTTCGGGTTATTTAATATAGGCAACGCTATAGACATTACAACGTTTATAATACGTCGTTAATTAATGCGGATTGTCTCCGAATGGTATCGGTAAGCGCGTTTAATGCAATATCAACGACAATAATTATTATTAAATATCTATTCATTTTCGGTGCGCGTGGGAAATAATTATTGTACCAAATCATCCTGGATTTGAAAATGTAGTACCACTGTACCAAATAGAATTAAAAGTATCAAATTTGGTACAAATGTACCACTGCGGCAGCACTGTTTTCTAGAATATAATCGGCACGGACATGATCCCCGTCCCCGTTGTCCACTCGGTGTAGCATATTATATTGAAGGCCCGGACGTGGCTCGGTGTCTACTTTACGGAACGTGCCCGGCTCGGGTACGGTCCGGTGTACCGTGAATCATCCTTAATAGACTCTTAAGTTCATCTGCCATCATGAAAAGAAAATACAAAATTCTCTTACAGAATTTCAGAACATCTGCTTTAAGACGCAGGCAGGGTCCTGTTATATTTATGAAATGATAATGCGATGGGGTGAGTCCTGATGACACCGTCTTATCGATTCCGAAACTGGCTCTTTTCCACCCCTGTTTTCGATGGAAGTAGTTTTCTTTAATGGTCACATTGGGAAAGATTGAAAGTGAAAAGAGCTCTTTTTTGGGGAAAAGTTTGATAGAAAATGTGGTGGAACTTTTTCTTTGTTGGAAACTCGTCTGGCTGTTCTATAAACCTCAGTTTACTGAAGAAATGTTTGATGTGAGACACAGAATAGATTTAAATCAAGATTTAAATCGTGATTCGTGATAAACCGAAATATCGTCGTGTATAAAACAATATTTTTCCATAGCGAGTTACGTTTTAAAAAATATTCAGAAATTATTATTTCAAGGAATTGATTACGAGTAGAAAAAATATTGTGCTGGGTTGGCGTTGGTTTCTATGTAATTTGACAAATAAATAAAACTGTCTCTTTGGTTGTCAGTTTTGAGTCAATATTTTTTAATTCTCTTACGTGTCGATTGCTGATTGAATTGGAGCCAGAAATGACTCAAAACGAAATAAGTAAATTACCAACAGATATTCAGGCTGAGGCGACAAACGCCATATCCAAACTACTTTCATTTAAATCCCGAATAACTTATGAACGGGAATACAAAAATTTTCAGAAATGGAAGCAATTAAAAAACGTGCGAGAAGAAATAAAGTTTTTAACCTATCCTGGCTGTTAAAGTATCATTTAATCTACCCTTGCGGTAAAAGTACTATTTTATCTACTATTCTTGATAGATATAGGTAAGGCAATTTTAACAGTTGCTATAAAAAATATATACAGGCCCGGCAATTGATCTCTAGGCATAGGAATTACATGCATTGGAATGAAACGCCTATAAAAAGTCTATGCTTAAACAGAGATGGACAACAACTTCCCCGTTTCCACGTCCCTACGACTGTCTACTTAGACAAACTCCAATAAGATAACAAATTTTGGAAATTCCGCCACCTCCCATCCATTCATGATACCCATCCTCCTGCCCTTTATTTATCGCCATTATTTTATTTCCCTTCCCGCGCCACCGCACCTCGCTATTCCGACTACCGTCAGTTCATCACAGAGTTGCCAGGTCTACCGGTTTCGTCTGTAAGCTACCGATTTAAAGAAAAATCTAACGATATGTTCAACTGCGTCTTTAGTTTTTACAATAGAAGCACTTTTAAAAAGCCGACTTATTTGACTAAAAATTAAACGACTGCCGCGTTGGAATCTGTATAATCTGACTTTATTTTTTCATTAAATTTTATTTAGTAATAACACACATACAGGTCATCGTTCTGTCTAGTTGCGAGTTACAGAGATATTCCTAAAAATCCTTATTAGTCCTTATTAGGCGCGGTATTGGCGACATGCCCGAAGAAGTTGATATCTTTTGAAAAGATTTTGTTTCATTCATCTACTAAAGTTGAACCCATATTTTCGCCAAAAAAATGTAAACAAAAAACAAAATTTAAGTTGAGAAACAACCTAAATTCGGACAAATATTGTAGTGATTTTCCTGCCAAAAAAATATATTAATATGAAAAGAGTTAAGAGTTGCTACAGCTTTCCCATTGAAATGAAATTAATTTTAGATATCACTGATCAACATTTGTACAAAGGTAAAAAGTGACTGCTGTGACTGCTATCCCTACTTGTTATAGTTTTATATGTTTTTATTAATATATTAATATTATTTAATTCAATATACTTTTTTAATATCAAATAATATACCTAGCTATTTCTAATTCTTGGTATATTTATTATATTTGTATTTTATTTGAGTGATCTATTATTACGACACATAGAAATGCTAATTTTGGACTTATTATTATATATTTTGGACTTTATTATTATAAAATAAAATATAATATTTATTTCTGTACTTTTGATTTTTGTTGAAGATCTACCGAGAATTTTGTTCTCGTATGGAATTATAATCTAACAAACCCGGCAACCCTGTTCGGCTACTCCTTATAAAGTTTTTTCGGCCTAATTCACCTTTGGCCTTTGTCACCGCCGCCGCCGACTGACGGTGTCGGGGCGATTGCTAGGAAGATCGTACAGTATTGCCATTTCATAGAATTGCATTGAATCGGGTCTATTTTAGAAATTATTTCAAAGTTTTGCATGTTACTTTTCGTTTTAGAAAGAAGTTATGTGCCTAGAGAAAACATTCTTAAAATTGTTTCGTACTTTATTTAATATTTCATTAAGCAGGCAAGATAATGGGATTAGAAGATTTGGGATTTGGGATAAGCCAACATAATTTCGATTTAATAGAATGGCAACACTGTCCGTCCTGTTTCTATTTTTTCGATTCTATTCTATTAGTAGGCGGTAGCCCCCACACATACGTCTTAAAGACCCGCCCGGCGCCCCCTCCCGCAGAGGCTCTCTCGTCGTATCACTTCTATGATCACTTCCCCTATACGATGGTAGGGAAAAGACACTTTATCCGTATCTGTTGCACTGCAGTGTATTTTGCAGCCTTACCATCTTTTTTTATCGCATTGAAAACCTCTATTGCTAATGTTCCTTTGCCAGCAGTGTATAAAAAAAACGATATTTTAATTTGTTTTTAAAATCATGATTTTTTGCACCCTGCTTATATATTTAATGCATAGAAGAAAATGTATATCTATAATTATTACTTGAATTGCCTACAGTATGTCCCCGGATTATCTTTACAAGTCGAAAAACTTTTTTATTACTGACATTTTAAGAAAAATACATTCTTCATAAAAAAATTTGCTTGTTAGTATATTACCATAGAACACATTGTGATTTTTAGGACTTCAAATAGCAAAAATTCAACAATATTTTCATGTTTTTTTTTATTTTCTCTAAAACGGTATGGAAATTTGGAAAAGTACAAACGGGATTAACCATTTTAGAACAAGTAAATTTTTTTATGAAAAATGTATTTTTCTCAAAATGTCAATAATAAAAAAGTGTTTTCCCTTGTAAAGACAGTCCGAGGACATACTGTACAGGGTGGGTCAAATTCGACGCTTTTAAATGGAAACACCCTTTTCTTTAGGAGATAGACAAAAATTAATATCGGTGTCTGGAGCTCAATTTTTGTCAAAAACATGATGGCGAAAACCGCATATCGATATCTGTTACCGTTTCGGAGTTACGGGGTGTTTTTCAAAAATGTGCATTTTTAACAAATCGCTGTAACTTTTTTACTATGGAAAATTTTGTATTTCTATGAAAACATTTCCAAAGCACCTTTTTACGTAGAATTTAATGGTTTAAGTATATTTTTTTTAAATTAATAATTTAAGAATTATCAACAGAAAATTTGATTTTTTATATGGGACACCCTGTATATTTTCAATTTATTGAAAATAATTTTAAATTACCTTTCCAAAAATATAACACACTTGATATTTTGCTCGATTCCTCTTCGAGATATAGAATATATAAAAATTCACCCGCTTTAAATAAGTAGGCTTTGAACGGCACCGGCTGTAATGCAAAGAAATTCTAGCTGTGGGCATCAATTAAAACGAAAATAATATTTGCTATGAGAGATGCAGAATTTTATAACAATTTAAAATATATTTAACCAACATCAACACATTTAAACTATATCTAATAACAATAAAAGTAAATAGCAAACCAAGACACGAAATTTTGCTACAGGTGTTCGAATTTCTTCTGTTATGGACAGACGGGGCAGTTTTTGAACATTTCCCGCGGAATTCATTAACTCATTAGGGGTGAAAGATACCCTCTCATAACATGAGGGTGTCCCAAATAAAAAATTATTTTTTCTGTTGATAACTCTTAAATTATTAATTTAAAAAAAATATACTTAAACCATTAAGTTCTACGTAAAAAGGTGCTTTGAAAATGTTTTCATAGAAATACAAAATTTTCCATAGTAAAAAAGTTACAGCGATTTGATAAAAATGCACATTTTTGAAAAACACCCCGTAACTCCGATACGGTAACAGATATTGATGTGCGGTTTTCTCCATCATGTTTTTGATGAAAATTGAGCTCCTGACACCGATATTAGTTTTCGTCTGTCTCCTGTAGAAAAGGGTGTTTCCATTTAAAAGCGTCGAATTTGACCCACCCTGTACATACATTAAGTTTGAAGGATCATGTTTTTCTCCTGGACCCTTTAATTAGTAAAATCGAATTAAAAATTACCACAGATTAAAAATGTACAGTTCCATATGATTCCACCGCATTATCGCGCGAATATACACTCCGGCCTGTCCCTCCCCCATCGTAGGCCGACGTCGTCGACCCGTCCGACGTCCCAGGCCGGCCATGCCCGTCCCTTCGCAGTCCTTTCCACCATCACGTACCGCCAAACACGATCGCGTTCTGCTCCCCCGCTCGACGTGCGTGCTCTCCTTCGCGCGCTAGTCCCCCCAAGTCCCGTCAAAACACCAGTCCGTCTCCTTATGTCTCCCCGTTCCCCTATCGTCGGCCCTTGTTCCTTTCACCCCCAACATTAAGGGTTTGCAGTGATCTAGCACGTGCGTCGTGCTTTGTTGACGTCGGTGAGTCAGGTGATTCAAATGAATCTGGATTAGGTTGGTGTGAATTAACGAGGGAAAAAGTATGTGATGAAGGTGGTGTGAATATAGAACTATGTAATTTTTGAGAGATGATTTTTAAAATTATGTGAAATTGGGGTGTGAGGAATTGTAAGATGTGACTAATTGACTAAAAGTTAATAAGAAATAAATTAAAGGATGTTTTAAGGGATCTTTGATGGTCTGTGAGTTCTATGAGTGAGTTTAATGGCGCAGGAACAGATTGCACAGGTGAGTGATACTGTACATAATCAGTGTTGTCAGAATTGAGAGATTTCCTTCAATATGAATCTCGTCAAATGAAGGGCTCATGGATTTTTATCCAAAGAGAAACTTTTTAAAATGGTATTTTATCGTCGAGGGAAAAGATTAATTCACGAGCGATGAAATCGCGAGTGAATTAATTTCGGGAGACGATAGTGCAATTTTATCGTCGTGTATAAACAATATTTTTTTCCATAGCCAGTTACGTTTTAAAAAATATTCAGAAATTATTTTTTCAAGGAATTTATTGTTGGATTGGCGTTGGTTTCTATGTAATTTGACAAATTAAATAAATAAAGCTGTCTTTTTAGTTGTCAGTTTTGAGTCAATATTTTTTAATTTTCTTTCGTGTCGATTGCTGATTGAATTGGAACCCGAATTGGCTCAAAACGAAATAAGTAAATTACCAACAGATATTCAGGCTGAGGCGACAAACGACATATCCAAACTAAATCCATTTAAATCCCGAATAACTTATGAAAAGGAATACAAAAATTTTCAAAAATGGAAGCAATTAAAGGACGTGCGAGGAGAACTAAATTTTTAACCTATCCTCGCTGTTAAAGCTTCATTTAATCTACCTTTGGGGTTAAAGTACTATTTTGTCTACTATTTTTGATAGATATAAGGCAATTTTAACAGTTGCTATGAAAAAAAAAATCTTTTCCAATGCTAATATTTTTTTGGAAATTGATTTGTGTGTTTGGAAACTTTTTATTCTTTTTAATTTTTTCTATAATAATTAGTATTAATTTTTGATAATTTTGTAGCGTTTTTTTTAAACCACTACCACTGCGAACGGCAGCTTTTCATCGGAGAGCAGTCGTGGATAAGGTATTTCACTAGAGAGAAAATTAATCAGTAATAATTAACAAAAGATATATAGATATTGGGCGCCAGGCATGTACAGTGAAAGAAAACACAGTTGTATAATACTTAAAACTAATGACTATATTTATTTATGATGAATTCTGATGGTAAATAGCATTGTACAATTTTAATAATCATTATAGTGGTTATTTATTGAGTAAAACTATGTATGTAAATAATATTAAATATGTTCTATGAAAAGACTTTGAAAAAATACAATGCGTGTAACGTTATAGAAAATATAAGAAAAGTAGCATTACTTTATTTAAACTGTTAAATTTTACGCGGTGTTAAATCTGATGTGTTGCAACCTGTAGATTCTAGAATCTATGTCTCGTTATTCATCTGTTAATATAGCGCAATAATAATATCTATAGAAAGTAATACTATTACAAGGTGTAATATAATGAAACCTAAAATCTAAATCACATTGTAACTACTGCATCGACATAAATGTTCTTAATAATCTAACCACTAAATATAGTCTGTACGATATTATTTAAAATGTACGTTACTGTTTAAGACTGAAAATATTTTAGATGTTAAATGTAAAACTAGAACTTAAATATACACTTAGCTGTTCTTTTATGTAACCTTGCTTCAAACAGTAGCAGCGTGAGGTGGTCTAGCATCTCTGTACTGTCTGTTAAATGTAAAACTAGAACTTAAATATACACTTAGCTGTTCTTTTATGTAACCTTGCTTCAAACAGTAGCAGCGTGAAGTGGTCTAGCATCTCTGTACTGTCTGTCGGCGATCCTGTTGGTCAAAACAACAAAAGGGGCCAGATTGAGGACACCATGAATCCTTACAGCCGTAGCTACTGACTAGGCTTAGAAATGGGAATGAAGCAGCATGGGACTCTAAGCTAAGCTACATCCACGCTGTGGCACTTAGATGTAAGAAAAAATCGTTCTTACTGGGGACACTCGTCCACAGGACATCTGTACATAAGATAATGTCTGTGCATAAGACACTACCCGTACCTTGGACACAGTCCGTACCTTGGACACAGTCCGTACCTTGGACGCAGTCCGTACCTTGGACACAGTCCGTATCTTGGAAATAGTCCGTACCTTGGAAATAGTCCGTACCTTGGAAATACTTCCGAGGGCTCAATAAATAATAAACAACATGTCGTTTCTTCCATGTGACATTCTGGAGGACAAAAGAAAAGGGACGCCAACGTGCCAGCAAAATACAAATACAAGTTGGGAGATCCGTAACTCTACCCTAAAAATATTCAATAATAATATCGAATCTATAAAAGGTAATAACTCATCTTTACCTGTAGCCTCGAAATAGCAGCTGATTCAAATTATACAGCAAGACTTAAATAACCACCATTTCCAAAAGCTGGGATACAACAGAGCGTCAAAACAAAGTGAGGTTAAGCACGGAGACAGTTGACAGAAGCGATGTTGACAGCGCCTCCTCAGAGCAATAACAGGGTTGTGTCGAACGATAACTGGGTTGGCGACTAGGGAACGTAAAAATTACGCGTCAAATAAACTATCCGGCCTGAACGAGAGGGAATCCGGTGATGATAGGCCAGACATCATATATTATATATAAAAAAGACATGTAACGAACTAAAAACGTTACAATTTTTATGTCAATTTTTAGTAAATGACGTCTAAAGATTGACCTCACCAAAATTATTATCATCGATGGTCATTCCCCAGCCGTCTTTGACGCCTTTTTTCCGATAATACGATATAAAGATAAAAAAAGACGTATCTACAGCTATTCTTATAATAGTGTCTCCGCAGGGACAAATAAGTAAATAAACGCCTTAGGAAAAAAAAACAAGCACGTAACGCCATCTGGACAAACCGCGGGAATCCCATACTAATCCGGTATGATATAAAAGGGGCGATAAAATAACAACGGGGGTAATTTACTATCTGTCGTCTGTTCTCCTGACGGCGGTTAAGGGATGAAGAGAAAAGGGGGAGGAAGATGAGTTACCTCCTGCAGAACCATTTAGTTCTTTCCAGTTTTTGAAAGGAAACGATAAACTATGAGTGGAAGCGAAAGAAAAAAACCTCAGAGAAATAAGTGAACACAGAACACAGAGGCGCTTTAACATTAACAATTTGTCACCCTCTAGGTATCCCAAAAGTGAAGATTTAGATTGGCGCCCTTAGCGCTTCTTGGTTGTCTGTGAAGATGGCCAAGCCTTCCGACATTCTTGAGCCGTCTGTATACAGGGTTGTTCACCACATACGACACGGAGTATTGTAGCTAAACGATGAGATTTTTACAAATTGTAAGTTTGGGGTTCGTTGAAGGACTATTAGAGCTACAATTTAAAAATATTTTTACAAGATACAAAGTGTCCCAAATAAATAAAAAATATCAAAGTTGTATTTTTTTAAATGGAACACCCTGTATATTATTACATTTTTAGTTTCTACGATTAAAATAAAGGTAAATTTGATTAAGGTTTATTATACTTAAACTTTACCGTTTTTGAAATATTTTCAATTTTGTGAAATTGTAGTCAAAATTTTAAAGCTTCATTTCTCCAAGGGTATCAATGTTTTTAATACTAAATATTTAATGAAGTTTATTTATTGATCAGTTATTGTGTTGCAATAATAAAAATAATAGTACCTTATACACAGTGTCTAAAAATTTATTTTAAATAATTATTAGCTTCAAACGGCAATAACTTCTTTAATTTAAATGGAATGCCCTATATATTTTAGGAGAATCAGATGCACAATTAAATTGTCTATCAAATTGTATTATACCATTTTTTACCTATCCCTTCAAGTTTTCGTAGAAAATGCATTTTCTTCTAAATTAGACCTCATTTATCAATATATCTATGGAATATTGACATTTTAGATTGTTTTTAAAGCAACAAATGTACAAAATGTACAGACTAGTAATATTATCGTTTTTAGCAAAACGATAATATTACTAGCCCATTTGTATGCAAAAAGAAAACTATTTAAATCTTTATAAAAGGGTATACCATTAATTAAATATAACACATTATTTCCGCCCATATACTAATTAATTACATACTTAATTGTGTTCGTTAATAAATTATTATAAATAAATGTGGATTTGAGTCAGAAATCAATATAATAATAACTTATCAAATTAAAGTCTCTGTTGTTATAAATAAGCATTTATTAAAAAATGAAATATCATTTTTAAGGTGTTACTTTTTATCACACTGTCTAATGCCCATACAAAATCCAGTTTTTTAGTATTTGGAGCAATTATTATTAATCAACGCAAACAGTCAGTTAATGTAGTTTGAATACTGGAATCACAGCTGGAATCATATTAATTGATCCTCTTTAACAAATATTTAAACAGTTTTTTTTATTTTTTAATGAAATAAACGAATTATAGCGACAATATTAGTATCTGTACTCTATAAAAATTTGGTACATCTTTAAAAAATGTCAATAGTCCATGGGTATATTGATAAATAAGTTCTAAATTACAAGAAAATGCATTTTCTACGGAAACTTAAAGAGATAGGTAAAAAATGGTATAATATAATTTGATAGACAATTAAATTGTGCATCTAATTCTCGTAAAATATACAGGGTGTTCTATTTAAACTAAACAAGTTATTGCCGTTTGAAGCTAATAATAATTTAAAATAAATTTTAGACACTCTGTATAAGGTAGTATTATTTTTATTATTGTAACACAATAACTGATCAGTAAATAAACTTCAGTAAATAAACTTCAGTAAATATTTAGTATTAAAAACTTTGATACCCTTTGGAGAAATGAAGCCTTAAAATTTTTACTGCAATTTCACAAAATTGAAAATATTTCAAAACGGTAAGGTTTAAGTATAATAAATCTTAATCAAATTTACCTTTATTTTAATCGTAGAAACTAAAAATGTAATAATATACAGGGTGTTCCATTTAAAAAAATACAATTTAGATATTTTTTACTTATTTGGGACACTCTGTATCTTGTAAAATTATTTTTAAATTGTACCTCTAATAGTCCTTCATCGAACCCAAAACTTACAATTTGTAAAAATCTCATCGTTTAGCTACAATACTCCGTGTCGTATGTGGTGAACAACCCTGTATATGTTATAGTAAAAG